CAGCGTCAAACATGGTTATGAATTAAATCTAATTTTCTTGGAACCTCATAATTCTTAAATTGATTTTTCTCACTTTGGATGTGATTCCTCACTTATTATGAAATGAAGTGATATAAAAGAATGAAGTCCACATCAAATAATATTTTGAGACAACAACATATAGTGATGTATTATTGATAGCGTGTTTCGGCCAAAGCTTTCAATTGTTTAGAAAAACTGATCTTCAAAGTTTTTTAGAATAGTATTTATTAAATAATTTCTTAGTTTTTTTATTAGTGGATATGTATTATTTTCTTATTTCGATCATAATTTGGTCAATTTATATTTTTTTAACCCATGCGTTAATTTTCTATTTGGAAAGAAAATATAAAAAGATCGAGTGGAACATTTTAGGATAAAACATCTGGACTTCTTTTATTTTATTGAGTGTCGTACACTCATTGTCATGAGTTTAGCCTCTTATGGCGTGAGTTCTTTCGAATTTTTTTTAAATTTCAGCCCATCTTAATGTTATTTTCTGGCTCCGCCCTTGATTGTTGGAGATTAGAAACTTGGGATTTTGTTGATGATCAATTTTTAAATTTCTATGCACATAAAACTGAAGTTCGAAGATAAATGATTCTTCAAGTAGCTAATCTCAACCCAAATCACGACGTCAAACAATTGGTCCCTTGAATGGGAGTTAATATTTAATTTCCATTTTGCATGTATATTTCGCCGCTGTTTGTTTACCATTTTTACAAATATTGTTTTTTACAGTAAACAATCTCAAACACACATTCACTCAATAAAATATTCCATACACAAACCAATAAAATTACTTTAAATTTCAACCACACATTCCGCACTTCTTGTTTAGGGTGTGAGGAGGGGTGAGAAAGTGGCTTAAAGCACGAGATTCAAGAAAAGTTTTAAGGCCTTGAAATTCACCTTTCGCCATTGGAATAAAGAGAAATTAATAATTGTTTTTGTAATACATTTTCAACTACTAATTTGAATTTAGTGAACATGGTTACGATATTCAATTTAAATTTATTTGGAAATAGCCATAAATACTCTGTCAAATGATTGACAAACACTACATAATATTGAAAATCATCAAATGACACAACACAAGGTGGACCCAATACATGTGAATATATATATATTAATTCAAACACTGCACTACTCGTTAAAGTTGAAACAGAAAATGGAAGTTGGTGCATTTTATTACAATTTCAAGCATTACATAAAATCCTTTCATGAAAATCGGAAGACAAAGTTTATGCAAAGAAATAATGTGTAGAAGAGTTCTAATAGAAGGATGACCAAGACGATTGTGCCAGAGTTGGATACAGGTTTTCCAGATCGGTTTATAAGAAGAAGCCACGTGCGATGACGAGGCCACTTATAAACTCCATCTCACTTATGCACCTTCATCACTGGTGCCCCTATACGAAGATCCTTCACCACAAATGAAAAACTTAAGAATTCAACTGAGACATGATTGCAATGACAAAGTTTAGAAATAGAAATTAGCTTCTTTTTTCTGAAGGGACACAGAACATTAGATAAAAGAAACAATTTAGAGGACGGGAGAATGGTAGAACCATTCTAAATAATATGCAAGCTTAAGCTAGTACCATTACACATTACCATCATCACTACTGTGAAGAGATAGGTTTTGCGAGTCGGATGTGATGTGGTGAGATGCTCCTTGATCCATCAACTAACCAGCGTTAGAAATACTTGATTTGGCTGTAGAGGTGAGATTTCGTCTGAGAATGAAAGTGAGATGGCTGATGGTAGAAAAAAGGCCGCGAGGATGAGTCGAAGGGTAATTGCGACTGGAGCTAAAGTGATGAAAGCGAGAGGGCTGATGGTAGAAAAAAGGCCGCGAGGGTGAGTGGGAGGGTAATGGCGACTGGAGCTAAAGAGGAAAGTGTGAAACCATGGGCACATTGGCTGTTAAACTACTGACGGTTAGTTTCCAATTGGATCGAAAATTATTAGTGCCACCAGAGTTGTATGGCTATCCAGACTAGCTTTGAACGTTTGTTTTGGTGACCACATTGGCTGTTAAATACTGACGGTTTGTTTCTGAGCTTCACATTTGAGACGATGTTCATAGACAAGTATTTTTTCTTGAAGTTCCTCAAAAGTAATTGCCGTTTCACGGCTCAGATGGCTATATCCTTAAATTTGGAGCTGAGTCCATCAAGAATACGATTAATAAGAAATGTTTCATCCTATGGAACATCAGCAAGGAATGAGCATCCCAGAAAGCATTTTTCTTGCTGCATACATTGTGTGACAATAAAGGTACCCTGGGAGAGATGGGTGAGGATTTCTTTAAGTTGGTGAATGCAAGTGTGTGAAGGTGTGGCGTAAACGGTGGCAAGCTTCTGCAAAGTTCCCTCAGAAGATGCAGATAACGTAACAAAGAAAGCAATGCACGTGTTCAGAAAAAGATCCCAAAGTAGCATTGAAAATTAAATTCTAGGTGGGGTTGATGAATGATGTTGGTTTTAGATGGACATTGGTTTGTACCATCAACATAGCCTTTGAGGTTAAGGCCAAAAGCATTAAACTAAAGAGTGCCCACCAAGAGATGCTAGTTTCGAAGGGGAAGGGTGATGATTGGGAATAGCAGGAATGGTGACAGGAGTGTTGGTGGAACAAAAATGGTGAAACTGTTGGAAAAGCTTCAGTATTTCATTGATGCAGTAAACATATATATTCAAGTTCTACAAGCATTATCTTTATTATTCTCGCTTTAAAGACATGTTTACAGAAGAAAAATAAATATTCTTTGTTGTCATATTTAGGACTAACCTGGCTCATTAGGTTGATCAATATCAAATGCTTGCAGGTTTCCACTGGTAACACTATTGAAACCAAACAGAAATGGCTCATTAGACATGAAAGCACCAGGCACTGCTTGTAAATTACTTCCAACCTGTTCTATGTAGGGTGCTGCAACGTTGTCTTGTGCAAATGTGTATCTACTTGAATCTTTCTTGGATTTAACCTCAGGAAGTTGAGGATTATAATCAAAGACTTTATTATTTGTTGAATCATAGGTTTGTGGATGAATTTTTTCACTGTTTTCCTCGCTTTGGAGATGCTGCTGTTCAAAATGTTCGGTTAAAATAGGCATAGACCCAAATCTCTTTCGTTTCGACTTGTTAGCCTCAATCTCTGGCGATGCCACAACATCACTATAGTGACGTTTTCTCCATTCACATGGTTTCCAATTCCCACTACGACATTTCTACGAAAAGGAAAAAGGAAAAAGTAATATTAAAACTAGGCTCGTCAAGATCTATTGTAAAGCTTCTAGATGGACTAAGAATTAAATTATCAATATATTTAACTTATTCCTTTCGGAGTGATGTGTATAAGAATGAGGAGTTGTGGATCATTTTTCTATGGATTGGAGCTCTCCTTAGGCACCATGGAGATGGTCACTAGGGTTCTAAGAGCATAAAATCACAAAAAATTTAGAAAGAGAAATATCCAGAGAATTCTTCCAAAATCAGGAATACGAGAGAGAAGAAAAAAAAAAATTTGAAAATCAACTCTTTATGCAACTTCGTTTAGTGAATGGGTAAAAATGCCATATGTATGAGTGACTTATTTTCGATGACGATTATACTGAAAACACAAGTCACTTGAAAGGTGTAAAAGACTTCTTATTTTGGTTAATGATTATCTTGTTTGAAAAAATGTATCGTTTATGCGTATAATGACAAGATTATCAAACTTAAACCGCAATAATAACCAACCTGGAGATGGCTGGCCACCTGCATTCTTGTAAGACCAGGTACATTCATGAGCTGTAGGATGTCCTTTGGGTAACATCCTACACAAGATATGAGTGCTATCTTGTTAGCACAAATTAGTATAGTATATACGTATGCACACACTTGCACGCCTAAGCGATCAATGATGGATCCACAAATTTATATTGGCAGAGCTAAAATTAAGCCAACAAGATGATAATAATTCAAAAATAAGTCGACAAGGCAATATGGCGATCCAATAATAAGTCAACAAGGCAACAAATGTCCATGTTATCAATAATAAGTTGATCCAATTTGTGGTTAGTTTAGTAAATTTGGACTATGGACTTGGACTTGAGACACTGGTAAGATCGCAACAATTAGAATCTCAAAAATATAAAGAGAAAAAGGCTTACTTCCTTCACCAAGTTGAATGACAGCATCCAAAAATTTGTCATGGAGTTCTTGATTCCATTCTGTCCAAACCTTTTTAGTTTTAACTTTCTTTCTTGATTTGCGTCCATTTTCAAAAACGTCGTTGTCATCACTCGTAACATTTTCCAATGGAATTTCTTCTTCAGTCCCAAATCCATTGCTCGTTCTGTTGAACGCCGTCACATCTCCATGTTCTTTAAGTCTCCATATCTTCTTCCTCCACACATGTTGCCATAGGTACTTTACATTCTCCATTTTAACTGGTTTTTGGAGAAAAAGAAAGGCACCTTGTTCTAAAGCACTTCTTGCCATCATATCATCGTCATGATCGCACATCACTTGAATAAAAAATGCAAAATAGAATCAGTGTAAGTAGACTCCATTATACTATATTGGTTAGTATTTAAACAATCTTGCAGCATTGCATTATCCAAAACGACTTGTACAAATGAGGAAAAGACTAATAATTTTAGAAGGTTAAATATAAATTAATCAACACTCACAAATCACTAGCAAATCCATTTTAACTGCTGCTTGGAGAATCTTGAAGGTGCTTGTGTCAGGTGAGTAGATATTTGCCATCACAATATCAAATCGATCCTTCCCATTTGATAGCATTGACAAAGCATTGGAGGCATGTTCAACGCATTTTGCTTCAAAAAAAATTAAATTTAAAACCATTATGTCAGAAGCAAAAAGAAACATAATTACGTAAAGTTTGAATATTGAAATTTATAATAACAATCCATTCTTTCAACGTAATCTTGCCAGTTTATTTGTCCTCTTCTTTTTCTTTTTGCTCGAACATTAATTTGTGCTTGTCTAAAGCTAGATAGGGTACGGATAGATTAGCAAGATAAACTAGATATATAAAATGTATAGCAAATTTTTCTAAATGGAAAAATACGAATCGCAATCATGTACTTTAATTATCAACGAAATGCGAATGATGGACAAGTATTTTCCAAAAAATTGAGTCATTTTTTCAAATTGTAGGAGTTTTAAGATGTGATTTTCCTTTCAAGCAATATCAAGAATTAATTAAATATTACGGTCATAGAAAAGGATCCTAGGACATTAATTACTCATAGACAAAACGATGTCCTTTGTATTTGTACAATTAAAAAACCGAAAATAGAAAATAGAAACAACTCAAAGTCAAGTATAACCTATAGTCAACTTTGCAAATGGGCTAGGCTGTACAGTTCAGAAAGCATTAATATGCACATTTAACTACAGAATATGGCACAAAAAGAATATTTATAGCCGAAATAAACATCACTGTTCCCATCGCTATTATAGAACAGTACATGAGATTTTCACGTCATACGGCTCCTCAGAGGTTAAAATAAATTACTAATCAAAATCTATCATTGTACATATTTATTTATTTTTTGACAAAAACACATGTCAATGAAGAAAAGATGTTCTCATGATATTTTTTTTTGAAGCAAACAAAAGCTCATTACAGGACATCAATTCAAATAATAAACTAAAGCAAGAATGTTCATCTATCATAGCTATGCTTGTACTAAAAAAAAATGAAATTTGGATGTTATGAATATTTTTACCTTTATATGAACAGAATTCCAGCAGTTGCTTTGTTGAGATAAGATGATTAATGTCATGTTCAACTAGCAAAACATGGACATCTTGTGTCCTCCTTAAATAAGAAGCCATTGAAGTGCTTAGATGAAGTATCTGAACTCAAAAAATGACGTTCTTGACAGTGATAGACTGAAACAAGTATGGGAAAAGAAAGCACAGGAAATCTCTTGAAAAGGTCGATGTTGGAAGAAAATGTGATACGAATACAAATATCTAAAACCAACAGAAGACATTTGCATTTATAGAGTCATTTCGTGAGCGTGCGACGTTGACTTCTAGTATAAATAATACCTCTTAAAGATTAGGTTGATATGAATACATATTTGAAACGCACCACAGATACTTGTATTTATACAGTTGTTTCATGGAGGGTGTAATATTGACTTCTAGTAAATACAATACCTCATAAAGATTAGTTTTTATGACCGGATAAGTGTTTTCAAACTTTTTAAATGTTATTAACTCATTTTGGAAAATGGTGAGTTTATTTTCAATGCTTTAAATTTAAAATTTAGCTTTTGCTTCTTTGTGTTGTGGGCCCTTGTCAAGTTGACCAGCAATGCTCCAAGTCCATGGATTATAATATGTGGTTGGAAGGTAATAAAATTAATGATATGTAGAGGTACCAGTGATTCTTAGCACCAGTCTAGATGGCAATAGATCCACTATTAATTCTTCAATAAAGTTGAGATAAATTTTTATTAATTAGACAACTAAAGATGAGCACCAATGCCACCTACTGGTGCTAAATAGCATTATTTAGGTAATAATGATAATCCACTGTTGTGGTGATCATTAAATCATCAGAAGTTATATTCTTTGGTGATAGAATTTGTGCTTGCGAATACATAGATATATAAATTTGACTTTAGAAATCACTTTAAATTCAAAATTCACTTAATGTTTTACACAAGTCATTCTTCTACATTATTTTAAACAAATAAGTTTAAAAAATGAACTTTTAGAATTATTTGATAGCAAGATCTATTTTTCTTTGCATAACTGATTTACGTTACATATACATATACATATAAATTGAGTGTTATATATACACATATGGATTGTTAATAAATCTTTTTTTTCTCTAAAATGTTGATATTTCAAGATAGAATCTCGAATCTTAATATGATATCACAACTCATTAAACTCCGATAAGAACTTGGACTCAATTAAGACTTGAATGAGAAAATAGATTCTAAGATTTGTGTGATCAAAATGAGTCACATTCCTATAGGAACATGTTAATCAAGGATAAATTTTATATCATTTTTATATTAAAATATACACCAATATATAAAGGTTTGAGTTACTCCTCTTAACAAAGTCAAAATAATCATTAAGATGAAACTCTAAATCAGAGCACCCCCATGGTGGTAGGCGGTTTATCATTAGAACGTAGAGCACCCCATGGTGGTAGACGGTCTATCATGAAAACGTAGAGCACCCCATGGTGGCAGGCGGTCTATCATTAGAACGTAGAGCACCCCCATGGTGGTTGGCGATCTATCATTAGAACGTAGAGCACCCTATGGTGATAGGCGGTCTATCATAAAAACGTAGAGCACCCCATGGTGATAGACGATCTATTATGAGAACGTAGAGCACCCCGATGGTGGTAGACCATCTATCCTTAGAACGTAGAGCACCCTATGGAGTATGCGGTCTATCATGAGAACGTCGAGCACCCCATGGTGGTAGGCGGTCTATTATGAAAACGTAGAGCACCCCATAGTGGCAGACGGTCTATCATTAGAACGTAGAGCACCCCCATGGTGGCAGACGGTCTATCATTAGAACGTAGAGCACCCCCATGGTGGCAGGCGGTCTATCATTAGAACGTAGAGCACCCC